ATTGTTGCGGAAGCCAAATGTATATAGTGTGAATAAGTCACAACTACTATACCAAAAATTATGACAGCCACCAAATAATAAATAAGACAATAAAACAACAATAAAGGAAACACCAGAATTTACGAGGTTCGGCTAATTTTGCCTACTCCTCGGACACAACCAATATTTTATTCCACTCCAAAAATACAAGTGAAATAATACTAAAGAGAGAAGATACAAATGCCTTAAACAGATGAGAAGGCAAATGAGAGGTGTATCTAAATCCTAAACATTAGGCCTTCTTTTATAGGGGAAAAATTCCCTCCAAACTTAACTCCCAACCAATGTGGGACTTTGGCATTTTGCCAAACTTCAACAACTAAAGCTATTTTTGCGTATGTGACCCATGCTTTCTAAAATTGGAGCAGTGTATATAAAATCCTCATGACAGGGAATTTGGTTTTGGTTCAGTAATGTTCATAGGTAGAAGAATGTGAATATAGGTGAGATATTTGGAATTAATAATAAATTTTACCATAAACTACGAGTAAGACACATGCATGTAAGGCCTATAAATGTAGTCCGATTAATTTCTGTCTGCCACAGTAGACTATCTAATTGGATATATATGAGTACGACATTTTTTGGAACTAGATTAATATATAGACTTAGTCCGACGATGAAGGTTTCTTAGATAGGACTGTACAGACATATTAATTTGGCGTGCTAAATAAACCAATAACGTTTATTTATAGATGTGATGGTCCTCTTTATCCTTATAGGTGTGTGTGTGACGTGAATACTTTTGGATTAGATCATAATATTATAAGATTAATATTCTTATACTAATATTCCTTAAAATAATATTTTTAAAATTATGAATGCTCGCCAATAAAAATTCTGAAAGCGAGAGAAAAAAAGAGTTAAGTCGTGTCTACTCACTAAATATTTTTATAATTACTGAGTTCGAAAGAGGAAAAAGAGTTGTTTTGATACCTTAATTATTAAGAGTATCTCTTAATTCTTTCCTATTGGTTTCCTTTTTATTACTCTCATTTGAAGTCACTTTCCATCAACATGCAGGACGTAAAAGATTAATGATAATCATCATTAAGAGATTATCTATCCCCTTATCGTTGCCACTAGCGCGCTAATAAGAGGGAAGAAGTGTGCCTATAAATATCGGGCCTTCAAACACATCGATCACACACAATTATCCAGCTAGTTTTCTATAGAGAAACAATCATGGCAGTCAAAGTTACACTACTCAATCTCTTCCTTTCAGCATCCCTCATCACTGCTCTCTTGTTTTCATCAGTCCTTCTGGCTGAAGCCAAAAGTACTGGCCATGGACTTAGCACTGAGATAATCCATCGTGCTTCTAAGAAGTCTCCATTTTTCAACGCTGCTTCTCCAAATTCACTCCGGATGGAGTTAATACCTGACCGTCTTACTGGTGTATACCTAATAAACTTTTCTGTTGGAACTCCTCCAAAGTTTCAACAGGTAGTTGTTGACACTGGCAGTCATATTAATTGGATACAATGCCAACCTTGTGTCGACTGCTACAAACAAGATATCCCCATTTTCTACCCCGTAAATTCTTCAACCTTTAAGCCCGTCTCCTGTCAGTCACCTAAATGCTTTCAAAATAACTGTCAAGGAAGCCAATGCGTGTATTTTGCTACTTACGTTAGTAGTAGTTACTCATTTGGTGATGTAGCTACGGATACTTTCACTTTCTATTCTGCAAATGGAGAGGAATTATCTTTTCCAGCTATTGTTTTTGGATGTGCTCACAGATCCAAATCTACACCAGTGACCCCAATGATGTCTGGCTTAATAGGGCTTGGAGCTTCTCCTGCGTCTTTAATGTCGCAAATAATTAATCCAGCATTTGGACAGAAATTTTCCTACTGTTTTGTGCCCTTTTCACTATTAGGTTTCCCTAGCAAACTTACCTTTGGTGACAATGCTTGGGGACCTGGGAGTTTTTTCACTCCACTTATTGTTAAACCTTCCGATGTGTTCTATTTCTTGACCCTCTTAGGCATATCGGTTGGTGAAAAAAAACTGGAACTTATTGTTAATTCCTCTACTATTTTTCAAGAGGGGAATATTGTGATAGACTCGGGAACTACTTATACTTCCCTTCCTACCCCGTTCTACAACCAACTTGAAACAGTGGTGAGAGAAGCCGTTGAAGTGGAACCGTGGTCTGACAACTCACAATCTGGGACGAGTCTCAGTCTCTGCTACAAAGATTTGGATGGCAATGATATTCCTCCACTGACGCTTCATTTTATTGGAGCTGATGTCCCGCTGTCTAAGGATAATATCATGCCTCCAATGCCAAATAGTGACGGACTTTGCTGCCTAGCCTTTTTACCTACAGAAAATCAGCCCTTCTTCGGGAATGTCGCCCAATCGAACTTTCTAGTTGGATACGATCTAGATAAAATGATCGTATCCTTCAAGGCCACTGATTGCACCAAAATGGCCTGATTTATTTAGTATTAGCTTTAGACTTCTTCAGTCCGTTGTATTCTACTTTGTTACGTGTATGTGGACTTTAGCCTGTATCATCTACGGAAAAAAGACATCTATCTACTAGTACTTAGCTTCTTTGTGTTCTCTACTTTAATGTTCATTCTTTTAAGTGTTTTCGATCATCCTTCTATAACAAACTTAAATAACAAAATAAACAAGATCATTAATTAAGATGTCCACGCTAATTAAAGGACACTTCAATGTTACTGAATTTACTGGATGGTGCCAACTCGATATGCTCAAACTCACAAGGTATGGTCCTGATGGCTTACGTAAAAGTAATTAATTGATAGTTAATCATATACACAAGGCAAATAAACAGAATAATATATATACATCACGTAATAGTAATGGATACTGGTTTCAGATCTTTTTTCTTTTTGTAGATGTTTATTTCCTATCTTAATTAAACTAATGGGAATCGACTGTATCTATCATATTGCAGCATTATATTTATGATCTACCATAATAAGCAAAAACTCAAACCAAACTGTGGTTGTAAAACTAGCTACTTCAACCAGAGGAATTACAGAAAGAGTTTATGCATACTAAATTACATTTAAGCACAACAACAAAACTACTAATTTTAAAGGAATATTCATATACAGTTGCATTGCAGAAAAAATTAATAGGGTCAAGTATATTAGATAAGCTTTAAGTTTCAGCAATGATTATTTATAACTCCTAAAATTAGAATATACTAGATGAAAGCCAAAGTTAGCTAGGTTCCCTTTTGTAGAAAAAGATATTACCTAACTCTAATATCTTCCGGATTCACCTTGACTCATATGTATTTCATTTATTGCATGAATTAGCTAGTTCGTAATGAATAAACTGATATAGTTCAATAAGTCAGTGAATAAACTGATAAAGTTTATAATCATGTCCGGAAAATTTTGAATGGTGAGATCGTCATCTCATTACTAGGAAAAGGATTATCCAGCTTATTACTCGAGTTAAATTTTATTTACTTTCAACACTAGTTTTAATCCTGGTTTAATATGTAGATATTATCATTTTCTAGGAAAAAAGGTACTTTCCAGCTTTTGGTAAGAAATTTTATCTTCTAATTTCCCAATTTTATATAAGATATATTTAAGTGCATCTATTTTATCCTTCCAATTACCTTTCTTGTCAATAAAGTATTGTTAATTTTATAACAATTGTTTTATATTAATAAAATTCTAATAGTTAAAAAAAAGGTGGGGTTACATTTATTTAATTATTAGTCGTTTAAGGAGATGAGGTGCTTGAATATGTGGTAATTTTTAAATTTAGGCTGAAATTATGCAACTCTTAAATTCTTTTTTCATAGACGTTTAAAAAATTAATTCTTTCAATTGCTTAGTTTGTTATTTTATGTGATGCATTCCATGATCTTATTAATTAGTATTGATTCACGCAAAGATGTTACTTTGAAACTGGAGTAAGTAATTGTCCACCTAAATATAACATTCGAAGTATACATGGAAGCCGTTTCAATAGTTGCCAAAATTTTATGATATGAAGAGTTCTTACGAAAGTTAAAAGTACCATTTTTCTTAAAATAATGATAATATTTTATTTTACTATATATTAGAAGTGAGACTTTGGGTGTACGAACACTGCAATTTTAAGTTGTACAAAAGGCAGTGTGCATAGTACTTTATAGTTGGGCTTACCATTAGCGATTTTACACGTGTACTGCATCTTTGTTGTGCAATAAACCATGTTTACTTCACTATTTCAGATATCTCCACGGCTCTCTGCAATTTTTCTCATGCTTCGCTACTTCAAGAGTTCACGGTATCATCTTTCTTTGGGTGAATTTATTGAATCTTATGGGCTTTTCTTTCTTCTTCCCTTTTTTAGTGTGGGAATTTATATGTCCAAGTGTTCTCCTGTTCCTTTTTTCAGAATTATTTCTTGAATGCTCGCTCTTTCTAATTTTATAATCTGCTAGCTACTAATTTTCTAGCCTCTGTTGTGTTTTGTTTTTATATTCTTTTGAATCATTTCTTGCTAGATGTTCTTCATGCATGTCTGAAATTCCATCTGATTTGATATGCATGTTTGGAAATAAATACCTAGGTGCATATTTTTTGTTCCTAATTTTGGTTGTGTAGATGATGTTTATAGTCTGCAAATTTTATTCTTTAAAGGTGTCCAGTCCATTGACAGTGAATTGAAAGCGTGTTTTTTTCTGGTTTATTTTTAATTTGTTTTCTTCCTTCTTAAAAAGCGGTTCTGAAGTTGTGTGAGTACTTTGTGTAATATGTTATTCCTATAAATGACTCTCACCATTACTCTGCTATTGAAGGGTGATGTATCTAAGGTGTTTGATAAAAAACCTTTTGCAAAGCACTATTTGGTTCTTAAGCTCTCATTATTTCAATATAATGGTCAATATTTCATGCATTGCGACAGAACAGGGCGTGGATCGTCTGTTTGTAACTGTGACAGGCTTGAACCAATTATCTGATCAAGAAAAAATTCCCCTGGCAGATTTGAGAGGAGCTGGATCGATGAACATGGGAACTACTATCAATTGATAGGTGATCGGAATACACTATTAGTGGACAATGAACCATATGATAAGCATCAAAATGTGTAAATGTCATGAATCTTATGTTATGTCCCACGTGCGTATGTGATCTTTGGTGATATTTAGGGAAAATATGACCAACTCATATGTCGTTGGTTAGTCTTATTGAGCAAGAAGTTCCTTCTACTTATTTTTGCTCTTTAAGTTGTACTCCTCATTCTTTGATATAATCCTATCTATTAGATGTGAGTATACTTCTCGCCTTACATTTATGTTTATATATCTATTATTTCCTTGCCTGGAATTAAATCTCAGATTGATGTTATAGCATAAAAATGCGAGGATAGTCAACAAGTCATGCTCAATATACAGGATTGTGAATAGTGTCATGGTTCAATAACTATCTGTATTACAATTTACAGAGTCATGTGATTGGCTTAACCGCTACTGCTTTTAATGTTTTCTTCCTAGGTCGGAGACTATCTAGAAGGTAATTCAAAGATTTTTTCATATTGTTCCTTGCTCAGAAAATGTTCGTGTAGTACTTTTCACGACAAAGACTGGTATTTTGAACAAAAATATTCTTACTTCTACTATAAAATTGTAACGACCCAAAGTGTCATCACCTGTTTTTAATTGAATTTTGTGCCTCCGAGGCCCTGGAAACCTCATATAGTGTAGCCTCGATTTGCGTGCGCAATCCGGGCGAGTAGCCGGAAAGCTTAAATATGAAATTCTGTGGAAAATGTTAAGTCTTGACTTTAAAATGAGTTAATTTGACTTCGGTCAATCTTTTGGGTAAACGGACCCGGATCTGTGATTCGACGGTCCCGGAAGGTCCGTAGGAAAATATGGGACTTGGGCATATGCCCGGAATCGAATTCCGAGGCTCCAAGCCCAAGAAATGAATTTTTAAGTGAAATTATTATTTTTTTAAAAAATTGTTTAAGGAAATTTGAAATGAAAACTGATTAGAAAGCAATGGTATCGGGCCCGTATTTTGGTTCCGGCACCCGGTATACGTCTTATATATAACTTGAGTCATTCCTGTGAAATTTGGTTAAAAACGGACGTCGTTTGACGTGATCCGGACCTTAATTGAGAAATTTGATGTTTAAGAAAGTTTTGAGAAATTTTATTGATCTCGAGGTTTAATTCGATGCTCGTGATGTTATTTTGGTAATTTGATTACACAAATATGTCCGTAGGATGTTTTTGAGGTTGTGTGTTAGGCTTAGAAAGTCAGATGTTGCAGGTTCAGGAAGTTGCAGTTTTTGAACACTCTAGTGCGGTCCGCGAGAAATTGCGTGCGACCGCAGTCGCCTTTGTGCAGTCCGCGGTGGAGGCTGTGCGGCCGCAGTCGCCTTTGTGCGGTCCGCACAGGGTGCTGAACTGCAGGTCTTCAGGGAGGCCTGTGCGGCCGCGGTCCATTTGATGCGTCCGCACAGGGGGTCTGAGAGGGGTATAAATAAACGGGAATTTAAGTTATTTTTCACTTTTCAAAACCCCAAAAAAATAAGAGGCGATTTTTCAAACAACCTTTCTTCTCCAAAACGTTGGTAAGTGATTTCTAACTTATTTTCTTCACTCCTTAACATCTTTTAACATGATTTCAAATTCAAGTCAAAGATTTTCATGGGGAAATTGGGTGTTTTGGGTAGAACCTAGATTTTTCTAAAATTAGGAATTTGGACCTCAATTTGAGGTCCGATTTCAAAATAAATAATATATTTGGGTTTGTGGGGGAATGGGTAACCAGGTTTTGATCCGAACCTCGGGTTTCAACCACGTGGGCCCAGGGGTGATTTTGACTTTTTGGGTAAAACCTTGGAAAAAAACTCATTTTCATGCATTATGGTTGATTCATTTACCACTTATTGATGTAATGAAGTAACTTGTGACTAGATTAGAGCGGATTGGTGGTGGAATCAAGAGGTAAAGCTATTGTTGAGACTTGAGTGGTGATCAAGGCATCAAGGTAAGTGTTTGGTCTAACCCTAGCTTGAGGGATTAGGAGTTGAGTCATATTTGCTACTTGCTTCTTGTTGAGTACGACGTATAGGCATGGTGACGAGTATCTATACGTTGGTGTCAAGCATGACCGTGAGTCTTAAATTGAAAGTTGTTGTGTTCTTAAATGACACTTGGGTGCTTTACTTAATGACCTTCTATGATTGAGCATTTTCAATAATTGAACTAAGTACAAGCTAAGTTGAGATTGGTTATAGCTGATTCTCCCTTGCCGGAATGACTATTTCAATATTGTTGTTCCCTTGTCGGGAAAATTATTACATTGTTGTGTTCCCTTGTCGGGAAGTTATTATATTGATTATTTTTCCTTGCTGGGATTCCTTGAAATTGTAAGATATTATGAAATGAGAGCGGGTGGTACGCCTACCACAAGATATTATGAGATGGGAGCGGGCCTACCACAAGATATTATGAAATGGGAGCGGGTGGTATGCCTACCACAAGATATGAGAAATGGGATCGGGTTGAACACCTTTAACAAGATGAAAACTGAAAGTGAAAGTTGTCTATACTTTTCTTT